TATTCAGATTATGCTGATTCTTATTATCTTGCTGTCCCGGCAAGCGTTGGTTTGCCATATAAATTATTTCTAGGGAATCTATAGTCTAGAAAAAAAATAACTAACATATTGTAAGTGTTTAAGGATGTGGTAAATTAGTGAAAGAGGCATGGAGCGCTGTGAACCATGAGGGAATATAAAAATAACAAAAGGCAAACATTATTTTTAAGTTATTAAAATTTATTCCTTAAAAATATCAATCTTTTAATGCTATAGCGTGAACAATATTTTTTGTTAGTCCATCTTTAACTAACACAAACAAACTGGATGGTTTACCCACTCGATAGCATGCCACGTATAATTGTCCGTGTGAAAAACGTGGTTTTTTCAAATCTAAGCCACAAATAGACATCGTTTGACCTTGGGATTTGTTGATTGTCATTGCAAATATCAATCTAATCGGAAACTGAATACGTTTGAATTGAATTGGCACATCTGTAGGTATAATAGGAATCCGTGGTATTAATATATTTTCACCTCGGAACTTGCCATTTAAAATGCTGGCTTCGATCACGTTTTTCATTAATTTTTGAATGACTAATCGCGTACCGTTGCACAGCCGGGGTGGGTTCAAATTACGAAGCAAGATAATCGCAGATCCAACCTTTAATTGTAAATTATGCGGTGGCATGCCTGGTAAATCCAGTGAGTTCAAAAACTCTGTGAGAAAATTTACTGCTTCGCTGTCGTCGCAAACTGTATCAATAGATTTATATGATACCAAGTTCCCTGGCAACAACATTTGTATCTTCAGATTTAAATTGTCAACGTCTACATTTTTTGCCGCTAAAATTGCTCTTTCTGCAAGCCACTCATGATTTATGTACTGTGTGTGTACATCGGGAAATATTTGTTCAATGAGAGTATCTTGCGAATCAGCGATTGTGCAGAAATCGGTCGGTAATTTTACGTATCCAGTTTCATCTATAGCAACTTTTCCATCACCGATATCTAAGAGTTGTTTTGAAAATGTTTCAGCGGATGGATCTTGAAGCATTTGAACGCGCATATTTACTTTCAGCTGTACTTTTTCAACATTACGCCACAATGGAGATGATTTTAAGCAAGCGTTGATCTCATCAGCGTATGTTGAACGTGGAATGACTGGAAGTGTTTGCCTGAAATCACCTGAAAGGACCAACAGAGTTCCGCCAAATAGATTGTCATTGTTTTTAATATCTTTCAATGTCCTGTTCAACGCCTCAAGCGAATGTTTGTGTGCCATAGTACATTCATCCCAGATGATAATTTTACACTGTTTCAGCACGGTGGCCATGGACGATTGTTTCTTAATGTTGCATACTGCGTCAGGGTTATTCTGAATATTTAGTGGCAGCTTAAATACTGAATGAGCTGTTCTGCCTCCATCCAATAAAGTTGCTGCAATGCCCGATGATGCAACGGCCAATGCGATGCCATTATTTGATCGTATTTCAGCAAGAATTAGCGAAATAACGAATGTTTTGCCAGTTCCACCCGGTGCATCCAAAAAGAAGAACCCACCTTGTCCAGCTGAAACTGCGAGCATTATGCGATCATAAACGGTTCTTTGTTCCTCATTCATTAGTGGGACATTGCGGGCAACAATCGCTGCCATTTCTACAGTGCTGNTTTTTTTTTTTTTTTTGATGCTTATTATGCTGCTGCTGATCATTATTATTATTTAAGTGATGATTATTCTTTTTCTGATAACGCTGATTCTTATTATGTTTTTTTTGTTGATTATTATTATTATTGTGCTGATTATTATTATTATTATTATTTAAGTGATGATTATTCTTATTCAGATTATGCTGATTCTTATTATCTTGCTGTCCCGGCAAGCGTTGTTTTGCCATATAAATTATTTCTAGGGAATCTATAGTCTAGAAAAAAAATAACTAACTTATTGTAAGTGTTTAAGGATGTGGTAAATTAGTGAAAGAGGCATGGAGCGCTGTGAACGATGAGGGAATATAAAAATAACAAAAGGCAAACATTATTTTTAAGTTATTATAATTTATTCCTTAAAAATATCAATCTCTTAATGCTATAGCGTGAACAATATTTTTTGTTAGTCCATCTTTAGCTAACACAAACAAACTGGATGGTTTACCCACTCGAGAGCATGCCACGTATAATTGTCCGTGTGAAAAACATGGTGTTCTCAAATCTAAGCCACAAATAGACATCGTTTGACCTTGGGATTTGTGTCATCCATGTGAAATAGCGTGGTACTTGTGAATAGGGTAATGTTCGGGCAAAGGCACCAAAATCATCCGCACGATTACACAATTTAAAAAAATCAGTGAGTGTAGTTTTTGGTGGATTTATAGCACGATCAATCGCTGTCTCGTTCGTGAAAAATACACGCTGACCGTTTTCAAGATGGACAGCTAACTGAACAACTGCTGGATCCCGTTCATGAATAGAAAAACCAAAGATACGCCAAGCAGCTTCATTGGAGCTGATGTACCGACCAATTTGGTAGAGCGTTATTTCATCATATAATATACATAATTGAGTGTCCTTCCTTTCGCAGATTAATTTCTCTCGGTAAATAACCATAACAAAACGTTGCCATTATTAACACCATAAGAAGAAATAAACAATAATAATATTGGTTTTGTTTTTTTTTTTTTTTTCTATTGTTTAATATTTAAATTTTATCGCTAGTTTATTATTTAAATTTACAATCCGCCGTTTTATATTTTTCACGCTTCTTCGTACGCCAATACCTTATAGATAATAGGTATACAAATAATCAAGTGCAGTTATATTGTACCGCAACGGGGAAAACAATGCAGTAATTACCAACAATAAAAATATAATATACGCATATATTATTTTAACACGAAGAACCTAAATACATATAAGTAACACGCATGTTCTTGGAATATTAAAACATCGAATCGTATTATTCAACTGCGCGTAATACTGAAATATACGTTTTATGAACGGTGAGCTTACTTGTTTTTTATTTTTTTTAAATATTGTGCGAAGTGAGCGAATGTTTATTATGATATGCTTTTAGATTCTGAGCGGACCGAGAAATGTATTGGTTTTACAATGATGTTTATTTTTTTTTTCTTGTTTATAATGTACTGTTATACTTCCGTTCGATTTTAATACATAATTATAAATGGTTAATTACTGTTATTAATAATCAATGGTAATGTAATATAATATGATGGTCTCCGATGTCCTGCCGGCTGCAGTGTCGTTTCGTGTTATGTTTTATATTTATGATTATGACGTTTAATAATAGACGACGCGATAACGGACCGTACACTATATTCGGCATACCTATTATAATGATATTGTGCACCGATAGTATGTACTCGTATTATAGCGGTTATCGGACACAAATCGGTTGCATTGTATAGAACACGACAAATGCATTTCGATATATTAAAAAAAAAAAATTGTTGTGTAATATAACATAATATAATATAGTGCACGCTAATAGTTTGTTGTTGTACCGAATTCGTTATGTCCCGGGGGGCGGGGTACTGTATAAATTTGAAAAATAATATCCGGGAATGTTGTTTGCGTGGAATGATAAAAACCATTAGTTCCCTGGCTCACTTCGTTCATTGACTCCAGTGCGAACTCTTGTCGGACTATTAATTAAAAATTGTTATGCAAAACCACGTCGGGTAGGTAACAGGGGAAAAAGAGCGACGTGTAAGACGAAGTTACAGTAATATTTTAGAAACCAATAATTATTATTTTTCCGATTGTTAAGTTCCTCTGTATAACTTTCCTGTTTTGTATGTCGAAATGCCGAATCATAACGAAATAAAATTCATAAATATTGTCAATGAAATTTTACTTAACTTGAAAAATAAATCCATCAACTTGCATAAAATCTATAAGGTTTTCACAAAATTAAAAACATCAGCTTATAAATCAGGATTTTGTTTAGAGCATATTTTAAGAATTGTGTATATTTTAAAAACATTTTCAATTCAATTAAATTACAAAATAAATAATATTTACGTACCCTTGTTTTAGATAAAATATTATTATTTTTTCATTCGAATATGTTTTTTATAGGTTTCTTAATTTATGGTAAAAACGCAATATAATATGAATATGACACCTTCTAATCTGTACATTTTCACCAATATTTCTAATTTTTTTTTTTTTTTTTTGAACATATTTGTAGTGCATATCTGCGTAAATATTTAAAGGTTTTTATAGAGTACACAAATATCTGCCATAGTCACCACCGTCAATAAGTCGAATGTCCCTTTGATATTTTTTTTTCACACGTACTAACCCTGTTTTTACTCTCTTAAATCTCTCTCTCTCTCTCTGTCCCTTCCTCATCACTCTTTGTATCATCTCTTCTTCTCAACCGAACACTTTCGCCCGAATAACAACAACACCGCACTACACACTGTATATAATACTCGCTATACACTGTATACTCGCACGTACTCGAAATCGTATATCAGCCCCCGACATCAGCCCACGCGGACATTACGGTTCCCGGCGGATCCATAAATAGTGCGCGTAGGATATCGTGTTTGACAGGTACCTATATACTTACTACCACCGCCATATTACTACTACTACTCCTACTACTATTACTACTTCTACTCCTACTACTATTATTACTACTAATACTACAACTACTACTACTGTCTGTTTACTACACAAGGGGACTGTCATCACCGGAATGATTTCCACGACACCATCGACGATGCCCGCGCCAGTTTTTAATTAAACGCGCGCCCGGTACGAGGCACAATATGCGACGACGACATCCCCCCTCCACCTATTTACGGGCGGTATAGATTTTTTTTTATCAATTATGCGCGACATTCCCCCCTCCTCCGTCTCCGTCACGGCGGGCCGTGAAAAATCACCTGGGCGCGCGCGTAATAATAATATATGCATTTTAAAGTTTAAGATTCGTCTTACTGAGATTGATATAAGAATTTTTATTACACATTATGAGTTAACTGGCTTTTTAATTCTTACGTGTATTAAGTTTTTAATTGCTAATCTTTTTTTTATATATATTTAATGCTGTTATAGTCTATGTTACTTGTTTATTGTTACTTATTATGTTATTATTTTAATGTATATTATTCTGAAGTCAAGCCTTTTTTGGCGTTTATTTAAATAAATATAGCGTGTACAGTATACACCCCCCGAATATTATATTATAATTTTTTTCCGACTTACCACCCGGACAAGGAGAATCCGACTCGTATGTACGATGGTTATCATCACCGCGGTATATAACATCATAATAATAATATACACGGCACGTGTCTCCTCTGCATCACTATTTTTAAACCGACTTTTGTCCCCGACGATGACGAGCAACCGCACGACCCGTTACATTATTCGTGTGTCGCACAGCCGCCGTCCAAATATCTGCAATTAAAAAAAAAAAAAAAACCAAAAAAAATATATACATTTATAAATCTACCGAATCAAAGAAACAAACCTTTAATGTTCAGGTACCTGTTTTGACGTTCTCGAAGCAGTGCAGTGTGTTTGTGGACTTCGGGATGAGATTTTTTTTTTTTATTTCCGGCGGCAGGTCATACCACGCGGGATAATCTGTATACGTGTATTATAATAATATGACGGTTGAAACCAGATATAGTTCGGATGTTGTTGTAACTCTATATATATATAAATTATGTATCTAAAAAAAGAGAACACAAATTATTAGCTGAAATAATAAAAATAATTTATAATTTATTAAAAGATTCTAAATTTATGGCCCAAAAAAGTTAATATTTAATAAGTAGTACAGAGTTGAAACGCCAAAAATAAGCACTAAAAATAGTGCAGGAAAGTACACAAAAAATAAAGTTGTGGCGTACGTGTGGGGGCGCGCGGATATTCGCCCCCCTCACCGGTGGGTCGTATACAGTTATGTGTGTGCATTTTTATTTGTTTTTAGTGTTTTTACAATTATTTAAAAAAAAAATATTTTCATTAAATATATATATATAGTATATTATATAGTTAATATGATCCAAAAAACTATAAATATTAGAATTTATTGGAATAAGTACATTCGTAATGGCGTGGCGAGCAGATCCGATGAGGTTTCGCGTACAAACGACGGTCGAACATTAAATAATTTTAATTATAATTAGTGCCACATGATATTTTTTAATATACCTATAAATATATATATATATTAGTTGAATAAGAAATCAAAACGAATTTGATATCATAAAAATTACGGCTAAATAACCTTGTATTAAATCATGTGTACAGTTGGCGAACCCAGGGAGAGAGTTAAGGAGGACTTTAGTCCCACCCCTGTACTCGTTGACCGTGCCATGTACGAAAAACGAATACAAAATATTCAGCGTTGACAAATTATTACTAATTCAACTTAGTACAAATAGTTGGATGCACAATAACTGTGTAGTTCGAAATTTTTTTTAGTAAAGTTTTTTATTTTTATTTTTGTCAACCTATAGCACTAGACATAGTTAAATAATTGTCATCATTTACATTTGTGATTAATGCATACGATTATGCTGGTTTTTATTACAGGTACGTGTTTTTCATACATTTCAATATTGCACCTAGAAAAACGTTAATTATTACATAAAATATGTATAAATTTAATAGTTTACATACGCCGAGGAGTGAAAATAATCCGTCTGGCCTGACTGCAGATCAGAATATCTGTACTAATTTTACACACATTTTAATAATATTATGTTGCCTTCGGTTCCCTTTATAAAGAATGATTTTACGGCGATCGTGGTCCATCCCGTCAGAGTGTCAGTCTGACGAATGGTTTTAATTTTTTCCCCGTATTTATTCTTTAAAATCATTTTTGTAAAGAACAACCCCCCACATCCCGGACGCGGATTATTAAATTTGTATTTGATGAAATATTAACAACATTCGTAATTGAGTACAATGGATTTTTAATTAGTCTAATCTTGTGATAGAAAGATAAATAGTGGTCACAATTGAACAGTTATTTAATTAATACTTTTGTTTTTGGGTGGTCCGAGGCGATGATTTCGGCGAGTACAAAATTCGTTTCCTACGGTATGATAATATTTGACTATCGGAGACATTGAAAATATCTGATTTTTCTTTTATAAACACGATGGTATTATTATGTATCACATAAAAACATTCATATAAGCGCCTAATTATGCTCTAAAAATGTTAAAATATGGCAAAAGTGTAACAAAATAGCATCGAAATTTCGGAATATACAACAAATATTTTAAACTTGACTTCATAGCTGTCTAAAATAAAACTATAGTTTACTAAGGTGTATCTATGGTTCCTATTAAAACAACGCTATGCAAATATGTACTGAATACTGCGAGCTCATGAAGCTATCGAGGTCTGAAGAAATATTTTTTTTTTCAAAAAAATTATTCTCCCCAGTAATACCTATACTAGTCGTACCCATATCAACAATAATTAATATAGGTACGAAAAAAAAATACTCGTTTCGTAATATTTGTGCCTGTGATGTATATATT